GTGTCTGTGCCGACTCGTGTGATGGTGGTAAACACTTCTTTACTTCCCGACCATAACTCGATGTCGGATCGAAGTAAAATGATAGCGATTGATGACTCAATAGTGTTTGGAGAAGTCTCTCGATTTCTGTGTAACGACTGCGGACTTGATTTTAAGAAGAGGTTTGGGAGTTTCAAATTCAACTGGATGGAGCCTTTCAATAATACCGAATTTCTGATGTTTGGTGAAGAAGTCATTAAGGTGGTCAAGAGTTTGGATGTCATGGACTACGCAAGAAGGAAACAAATCGTCGTGAAACTCGAACCACAAAATCCCCAAATCAGACAACTCTTTCAAAGGACTCACCACCTCAGCAGTTGGTTAAATACACACGAAGAAGTCATTTTAAAATCTAATATGAAGATTCTCCAATTCATGAAAATCCACACATTCGACAACAAGTGCGAAAACGAAATATTTCAGAACTTTGAGAATGCAGAAAGAGTCGAATCGCTAAAACGAAAGGACCGAACTAAACGGAAATTACTGGGGTGGTACACAAAGCCCAAACAACCACAATTTGATATGTGACGTGTTTGCCATTTTGAAATAGAACTTAAAGATATTGTAATTCATTATATTTAAATAGAATCAACTGATTTATTTACCAAATTTAATCGTATATTTCAATTTAACAAGACTTGTGTTGTGGTATTTAATTTGAAAAGTTTCATAAAGGCGATTTTAACACTTTAAATAACATCGAACACCATTCAAGTGGTTTAAAATTCGGGAAATCTTGAGTTTATTTTATTTATTTCCGATTTTTAAAAGGTTTATTATGTGCATAACATTACACAAGCCAAAAAGGGAAAAACATCAAAAATTGGTTATATATCCTTTTAAAAACAGGTCTATTGACAAACTTGGGTGTTTTGTAAGTATTAATAGAAAAAAACAATCAAATACACAATATATATATATTTTGAGGTTAAAATATCGACTTTTCAATAAAGTGCTCTTATGTTAATTGTTGAACGAATTTCTGTGATTATAAACACATGAAGATGAAGCCAAAACTCAATTCAAATTAATTAATTGATATGTACTACTTACTGTTGTTATTCTTTTTATTTTCTAATATTCACGCTGATGTGTGTTTCGAAATTGACACACAAAACAATTGCATTAAAGATGGAGAACCTCAGTGTGAAGGTTCGGTTATTATTAGTTCAAATTTTCCAAACACTATATGTGAAAATGGGTTTAAAGGCAACACTAAGATAACCAATATAACACTTCAAGGACTAAATCCATTGAATGTAAAAAACTCTGCTTTTGAAGGTGCAACACATTTAAACTCTGTTATTTCTAATGCTGGAATTGCTTCACTTGGACAACTTTCATTTAAGTGGTGTACTTCACTCACTTCTATTGATATCTCTAATGTTCTGATAATTCCAAAACATTGTTTTGAAAGGTGCACTTCTTTACAACTGACAACAGACTTGTGTAAAGTTATAATTTTTGAAGACTTTGCCTTTGCTGATAGTAATGTTCAACGTCTTACCTTCGGAAAAGAACTACAAAAGATTGGTGATGGTGCCTTTCAGTGTACTCAAATAGTCACTGTTACGTTACCATCAGATCCTCAAATAAAATTCGGCGGTGGAGTGTTTTCGGCATGTGGTCTGTTAACTACTGTGGATGTTGGAAGAACAACTGAAATACCCGATTACACGTTTTCTGCATGTGTCAATTTAACAACACTTTTGAACTCTGAAAGAGTCACTTCTTTTGGTGTTCATGCTTTTTTGTGGTCCTCCTTGTCGTCAATCAAATTTGGTAAACACCTCAAATTTCTTGGAAAAGAAGCATTTTCGTTTACTTTACTGAAAACAGTTGAATTACCAAATTCAGTAGAAGTGTTTGAAGATGGTGTTTTTGAAGCTTGTGGAGAAATCGAAAGTGTCACTGTCACAGACAATATTGATATACCACAAATGACTTTTTCTGCTTGTACTAAACTGAAAAGAGTGGATGGCTTTAACAAAATAAATTCATTTGGAGGATTCTCATTTGCAAACACCAAATTAAAAGAAATTACATTTGGAGATCACGTGAAAAACATTTCTAAAGATGCATTTCGACTATTAGAAATTGTATCAGTCACTTTTGGTAACAATCCAATTGAACACTTTGGAATAGGTGTTTTCGAGTGGATTGCTTCCCTTGAGACTGTCAATCTTGGGGGTCTTACTGCAATACCAGATTTGACATTTAAAGGGTGTACATCTTTAACAAAAGTTGTTAATTTAGACAAAATAACTTCTTTTGGAATTTCGTGTTTTGAAAGTGTTCCTTTGACACAAATAACATTTTCAAATGATGTTACTCGATTTGGAAATTACGCATTCAAAAATGTTCAAATCACTTCATTGGCGTTACCTTCTGTACAAATTAAAGACTTTGGAAATGGCGTATTTGAAAATGTTATTACGCTTGAAAGCTTGGATTTGGGAGGAAATATTTTTATTCCAGATAACACATTCAAAAATTGTTCAAACCTTTCTCATGTAAAGGGAGCACAAAATGTTGTTTCATTTGGAAACAGCTCCTTTGAAAATACAATAATATCTGATGTTCAATTTTCTGAATTACTTGAAAATATTGGAGATCATGCGTTCAAAAACACATTACTCTCTACAGTTATACTTCCTAGGTTGCCGTTGAATTCATTTGGAATTGGAACATTTGAAAACAACATAAAGTTAAAAAATGTCATTGTTGGAGGAACAACAAAACTTCCAAAAGACACTTTTAAAAATTGTTTGGAACTCAATGTAGTGTCAAATCTCACTCAAGTAACTTCGTTTGGAGAAAGTTGTTTTGAAAAGACTTTGATTACCAATTTTGAATATGGAAATTCTATAACAGAAATTGGTGATTTTGCATTTAAAGGAACACAAATCAGTGTAGTCAAATTACCAAAAATTGTTAAAATTGGAAATGCAATTTACGAAAACTGTGAATCACTTGAAAACGTTGATTTTGGTAAAAACACAATAATTCCACATGATACATTTAAAGGTTGTAAAAGTTTATTGTTACTCAATGGTACAGAGTTTGTTTCTAAAATTGAAAAGGGGGCTTTTACAAACACCAAAAAACTCGAGTCGATTAATATGTATAATCTTCTAGTGTTCTTAGAAGATCCTCTCGATTCACAGAAAAATTTATTTTTCCATGGAAGTGAGCAACCAAAAATACTTCCAAATAATCCATATTTGAATATTAATTTGAAGATATTTGTTACTGAAAAGTACACAAATGACAAATTTGGAAATAACACGGTCACCAAATTAAATTGCACCAAATCACAGTTTATTGATGTTTCAACAGACACACCATCATGCAAAAATTGCAAAAACGACACTGCTACTTTAGATGGAGATAATTATTATTGTGACATAAACACGACCAATTGTTTTCAAACTCTTGACAATTGTCGAATTTGCATCAACGGGAAATGTTTACAATGTAAAGATGAATATTATTTATTTACCCCAAACAACATTTGTTTACTAGAATGTCCAGATGGTTATTATAACGGAATGATTTTCTGTGAGAAATGTAAAACACATTACAAGATTCCATGTGAAGACTATGAATGTGAGAGATGTACAAATAACGTTCTTTCAACATTTGTTGTTATGAGTCTTCTTTTATTATTATTTACAATATAATACGTTGTTTTTTAAATTTTGTTTAAATAAAATATCATACCAATATACATTATTCTTGTTGATAATAACAAGTTACCATTATACTTCTTTGCGTTTCAAATAAAAAGTTAAAATTACATTTTAACATGAATAATTATTTAAAATGTGATGAACAAATAATTTAAATAAATGCGTTTGATTCTTCTTCTTCCTCCTCATCTTCATCTTCATTTTGATCCAAAACGTCATTATCTTCTTTATGTTCCACATCACTTGCCCTTGTTGGTTCAACACATTCTTCGTGTTTCTTTTCAATTGGTTGAATTTTTACTTCAATGCCATTTTCATGCACTTCTTTGTCAACTTTATCATTTGTTTCAACAATTTTTATATCATTTGATTCATTACCATCTTCTGTTGTCATACTTTGATTCTCTTTATTGATCACATCGACTTTATTATTCAAATCACTTGTATCTTTCTTCTCCACAATTTCTTCTTCTCTCTTCCCGAAAGAAAAGACTGGCTTAGTGAATACTTCACTCTTGAACAATTTATCACTCTGTTGAGTGATTTCATTGATTGAGGTATTCATCTTGTTAACCAAACTTGAAAATCCCCAGCCGGACTTTTCTTTCTCTTCGATTTTTATTTCTTCGACTCTCTCGACTTTCAACTCGAACTTCATTTCCTTGTAAGTCTCACCAATCCTTTTGAAATAATCGATCACGTCACTACTCTTCTGTATGTCTTCTAAAAGTTGTGGTGACTTTTCAAGGCTCTGATTAGTTCTATTTTGCTTAGTTTTAAGTATTTCAAACGCTCGATGTATAGCTTTGTAAAACTCGACTTGGTGATATGAAAATAATTCGTATAATTTCTGAACTACTTTAACCAATTCAATATGATATAACATGTCTCGACATGTATTCACCTTTTCTACTGCGTTTTGATATTTACTTTCCGCTTCATGACATGATATAACCAATTTGTTATATTTGGCTATCACTTTCATATCATTAGGTGTGGCTTCGACTTTCTTTTTCATGTCTTTTGTGTCTCTTAAATGTGTTAAATAAAACGCCTCAGACCTCAGCGCATATGAATTTAAATCGTCGTACACTTTCATTTTCTTTGCTCTCTCCAAAAGTATTTGCTTTTTCTGTGTCTCGATTTCTTTAAGTACATTACTTAATGGTTGTGATACTTCATTGATTAGCATTTGTCCCGTTTTTTGAGAGATGGCGGCTGTTGTTTCACATTCATTTTCCAATTCGTTTAAAACGTCTTGAATTGGTCTATATGTAACTTTGTATATATTAATATTATATTATATTATATTAGATACTATAATAAATTAAACAAACTGATTCATAGCTTCTTTACTATTAGTTTGTACACCAAACAATAAAATATTTTCCACATTTATCATCATCTTTTTACTACTTTCCATTTCAATAGTTCCGCGTTGTTCATAAAATTCAGAGTACTTTCGTGTGAGTTCTATAACGTCATCAACTCGTTTTATGATCTCTGGTAATTTTGTTGTGCAATTTAAGTAGATTTCTTTCTCGTCCATCTTTAAACAATTTACCAGATTGACGAATTCTATTCAACTTTTTCCAGTATATAAACTACGAATTAATTACAAATAATTTAGACAAAACTTATTATAATTGTTTTTTTTTTACTATAATCTATTATTAAATCATATTCCTATATTATTATTATACTATTTTTATTTACTAACTTTAAAAAGATAGTTAACAATAAAAAGTAATTTTTACTAATTAATTTAACTGAATGCTCAAATAGTTTATTTACTAATAAATATATACTACTAATTTTTCCAATCAAATTTGAAGACTTTGACATTAAAAGCGCCAATGAATTAAATGAAGTCAAGCATAGCGTCACTTTTAAGAACGATTTCTTGTGACAATTGAATAGCCTTAGTGACAGCTTCCACCGCTGCGTTATATGCGTTATATCTTTCGTCTCCTTGTACGAAGATGAGAGTATGTGTAATCGAGTCTATCTTCGCCTTAATAGTTCCCGCATTAATAAATTCCTCCAATGAGTTCTCCACGGTGATCAGAGAGTCTCCAAACATTTTTGCCATCAAATTCATATCGACGACGCTATATGCAAAGATATATTCTATATAGCACTTCGATCGAACCGTCGCTATAACACTTCCAATGTTCTGTCCAAAGTACAAATTGTATTTCATGTACTTCTCAAGTTGTCTGACGTCATTACAGATATTCGCAAATTTGTTTTGTTTATAGTCTTCAAGTAACACCACAAGCTCCGGCACCGTATTCGCCTGATTTCTGAATTTAGAGTTGTTTACTAAGTTTTCGACGTTGACCTTATGTTTTTGGGTGAGTAGTCCAATGAGTGTCCCAAAGATCGCGACGTCCTCAAAGCTCAGAAACTCCGAGAACTGCCATTTGTCCTTTTCCTCAAATGTTGTGACTGAATCCAGCAAATTGAACGCGTTCACAAAATTCTCTGTGCTCCGAATAGCCATAAAGAATGACATGAAGTTAATGAAAGCCGTATAAAACGCTTTGACGCTGTCATTCAAACTTTTCAACTTCTCCAAAAATGTGTTTGCCTGATGGAAGTTCTCGAGGAAGATGTTAAGTCGGATCAGGCGGTAATATCCTTTAGCTAATAATGTACTATTCTTGATATTCTCTATCGCTCCTAAACAGTTTTTAACGGCTTTGGCGTACTCCCCGTGACTCTCGTGGATGTCCGATAACTCAAACAGAAGTTCCGCCTTCTCGTCGTCTACGTAAACGGCTGAAATCCGACCTTCTAACTCTTTCACAGTGTCAAAGAGCTTCGACGCAGTCTCCTTCTTCCACTGCGGCTCGTCTAATGCAAGTTGCGAACTTAAGACTTCTTTCAGTTTGGCAAACGCACCAATGTTATTCAATCGCTGAGTGTATTCTATCGCAGCGGTGATTTTCTCCGGACTCGCAGCTTCGGTTGAAAGAATGTTGTAGTAACGAAGCATCCGTCCATATGATGAATATCCCTCAATGTATTTGTCCATCTTTATTTTCAAGTTCTGATTTGTTGTTCAACCAAGCGAATTGAGTTTGAGGTTTGATTTTTATTCCTCAAAAGCGCGTTTTATGGTTCTATTGTTTATTAATTGTTTATAGTTCTGTATTAGTACAGTGTTATATAATATATTAATACTATTTAAATAGTAAAATATAGTAAAATATAGTAAAATATAGTAAAATATAGTAAAATATAGTAAAATATAGTAAAATATTAAATAATGAATAAAAACTCGAAAATAGTATAATTTACTCAGTGATAATAGTTCTAAACTGATTGTGGAACTCTGTTGTTGTCACGTTGAACAATTGAAGTGTTCTAAAAAGTCCATTTATCTTCGCTTTTCTTTGGCACAATTTTAGAGCAGTAGCTTCAGAGTCTCCTACCCCACAATACGACCCATAGTTCTCATGAAAGACACCACTCTCTTTAAGTAAAAGTCTCACTTTAACTGAGACACAACATTCATATGCATTGTCTTTGGTATCCATCTGTTTGTTATATTAATAATATACTATATGTATTAATATTTAATAGTAAAAATGTTTTTACTATAAAATATAGAATTGTATTATTAATTATAGTAAAGTCCATTTACTATAGTAAGTACTATTTTAATAATTTATTAATAGTACAACAAACGAAATCGATTTCTGTCTTTGAAAAAGTCAGATCGTAGTCTTGTCCATTAAAAGCTCTTTTTAGAATTGCTCTGATTTTGTTTTGCTCTTCAGTGACTTCTTTGTCTTCCTCTTTCTTAGTTGGGAAGTTGCTCAACAACTTTTGAATTCTGTCATCATCCGTTTGGGGTTGTTTGTCACTGAGTTTGTCTGTTGTGGAGTGAAAAGGGGTTGGTGTGTTCCCAACGAGTTTGCTAATACGAGAAGAATCACTTTTATGTTCTTTTTGAATAAGTTCGACTTGGTCTAAAAGTTCTTCTTTGATTTTTATTGGCCCTTGCGTACATAACAACTCTTTTTTTGAAACACTTTTTTTGGGTTCTTCGATATATTGGGTGAGGTGTTGTGTTAATGACTGTGTAAAACTGGATTGTGTTGCCGATATCCTTGGCTTTTTTTCTTTGTCAATCTGTTGTGTACTTTTCATCGCTTATTGAGTATAATTGAGTTTTTTATTTATTTATTAAAACCAAAACCCAAAAAAGTTCATCAAAAAAATTATTTGTGTGGTTTTTTACTCATCAAATTGATTTTATCTGAACAAAATCGAAAATTTGAATTTGTGTGTCAAAAGAGTTAATTCACAAAATTAAAACAAAGTAAAATTATAGTAAAGTGTAACTATACACAATATCGTTACAAACAGACAACGCTTCAATGCGTAAGTCTGTAAATGTCATCGTTAATTTCTTTAAGGACGTCATTATAGTTTCCGCGAGCTTTAGTTTCGTCGAAGTATTTATTCATGACGTCATACAAAGCCGGTGAAATATATTTAAGTGAATTGATATCTTTCAAATCAGAGTCTTGAGATTTTTGGTCTTTTTTAAAGCCACTTTTTATATTATTAATTTTATCTCGTATTTGTGTTGAAGTTTTCGATACGGCAAGATCTAACGCAACGCTTGCAGAGATCGTTTTGTACATTTCATGTAAAGACATCACAGAAGGTTCTGTGAATTTCCAATAAAAATATTTCAGCAAAACGTATTTTGTCGTTTTTTCAGTCCAAGTTCTTGATGAGTTCATGTCGTCTTGACTTTCAGTCTTCTGGAAATTGCTCTGATAATTTTTTTGGAACGAGGCGAAAGAGGCGTCTGTTTGCGTCTTCGTAAGCTCTTCGTTTTGTCCAAATTTTTGGTCAAAAGATTTTTTACCTCCAAAACAAAGTGGTGAATGAAATGGCGGAATGACTGAGTAATTTCTGTTGTTCACAAAACGAAAGGCACTCATCAATGAACGAGGACGATCTTGGAAGCTTTGTGAGACAGACATCAAAAGACAAAAACGATTGTAGTTCACAAGAACCATTCGCACGCCAACGAAGGTTTTTGAATGTCCTTCGATTTTCTGTTTTCTTCGACCGCAGTTGTTTTTTTTCGTTTTAAAAAAAGTTTCACTAATTATTGCCAAAAAAATCAGTTTGGTGTGTTTTTGGCATTTTTTTATTTTTTATTTTTCGTTTTTCGTTTTTTAAACTTTGTTTCGTTGTTTTTGTTATAATTTATGGGTTTAATTTGTTGTTGAATTACTCCTCATTTGTTGGCTCTTTTATGTCAAATTTGCTTTTTGAGTTTTTATTTCTTTTGATGTTTGTCGAACTTATTTTTTATAAATATATTTTTTTATTATTTATAGTATAAAATATCTTGTAAATAGTTTATTGAAATAAGTTGATCTCAATATTTTTTTCGTTAATAAAAATTCAACTTAAAAAATTGTTTGGAAGATTCTTTCAATGTTTGTTTTATTTATTTGAAACCCGAAATTTTGAAGACAAATTTTTATTTCACAAACTATAACTAAACTATTTTTATATTTTTTATCATGTTTTATTCATTCATAACTTGAGTTATTTATTATAAATCTAATATACTACTATAGTTTATCATTATTAAAATAAATTCAACTACAAAATGGTAACTTATCTCTCGCCAAAAAATAACTTTTCGGAGTTGATTTTAAAACTATAATAATTATAATGTTTATTATATTTTTTTAATATATATTAATATATTATTAGTCATTAAAAAACAGGTTCATCAAGACCTATTATTTTGGTAATTGAGATATGTGACACATTAGTTTTATACTGTATATTAATAATTATATTTTTTAATA